GTGAGTCCCAGCTCAGGGGTCTGGGGCCCCTCTTTACTCAGTCACACAGAAAACCTGAAAGGTCACGAGATGATGAACAGAAGAGAAAAGATGAAAAAACAGACGCCTGCTGCACAAAGTTCAAGATTCTCACATGTGCAGTAAAACACAGGCTGGAAAACTACTGAAGCTTCCTCAGGGTCCATGAATTGATTCTTGTGAAAAGATCAGAAAACACCCTCAACCTAACGACGTTAAAGAAAAAAAAGAGTTCTGGATCTGACGAAATGTGATGAGTTCTTACTCAGCCCAAGTCTCATCCTTCCACTAAGTTCCAATAAATCTAAGGGGGTTGTAGAATACATACCTTCTTCCAAACCTGAAGATCCTACACATTATTGTTCTTATAAAATAAATATTTAAGAGAACATTTCCTAAAATGCCTGTGTTGCCAATGCAAATTCCCAAATCTTATGTGTTCTTCTCCCCCCGATCACGTCCCTCCACCAAGTTTGGTGGAAATTGGTTTTGTAGTTTTTGTGTCATCCTTCTAACAGTTAAACAACCAAACAGACACAGGTGAAAAATTAATTCCTGGATCTGCTTCTTTGTCCGTATCCAGCACCAAAATGTTATGAGTTCTTTCTTGGCTCATGTTCTACACTTCCACCGAGTGACAGATCTAGATCAGATCCAGCTGCTGTAACATTAAAGTCTTGATCTTTCAGAGCTTCTAGGTGAAGAACGTCCACAACCAAACAAAGCATTGGGCTCACAAACCTGTTTGCACCTGCTTGTTTAATCACTAAAACTCCTCCGCACACACGGGCCGATGTAGATCTGCACTTTTTTGTGAGATCGTGCTTTTACCTGCAAACCTCAAAGGGTTTAAAAAAAGGAGTTATTTTAATACTTTGAGCCGAGGAGTCACAGGCTGCTGCTTTCACAAGGGTTCCGTTTGTAAAGACACCACCTTCCTCTCCGAGGGAAAGGAACAAGACGAGGCACGCACCGAGATGTGAAAAGGACACACACACCTCAACATTACTCAGATGTGATCAGGCCACATGAGCCATCATTGTCTTCTGGTGTAAACTGGTTCTCAGACATCATGTACTGTGTGCATCTCACCCGCTGCTCCACCAGGACGTCACTGAACTGTTTGATAGAAACTGTTTTTAACTGCAACAGGGACATTTGAGAGTTAACGATAAATGGACAGTCTGTACTTACATTCTTTTAGTTTGTAGAGGGCAATGAGAAAAAAGACCCAAACACAATGTGAGCCGATCAGTGAAGGAGAGACAGGTGAGCAGGTGGGTGAGACTGGGAGGAAAGTCCGAGGACATCTGGTGGACGGGTGGAGGCAGGAGATCGAGTCAGAACAGCCAGAGTGAACAAGGCTGAGACTGGAAATCCGTCCGTCCATTATCTATACCGTTCATTCTGTCACTGGCAGCTGGGGCCTCTGTGTTGGCAACAGCTAACGGCCTCTTGTGAACACGATATCTTACGATTGAAGAACTGATCAGATCTGATGAGCAGATGTGTGAACTCTTTTTGATTTGAGAAAACACAAATGTTCACTTAGACTCACAGATCAGATTTGAGTGGTCAAAGGTCAAAGGTGTTTGGCCTCTTGAACATCTCAAGTCTGTCTTTGGGGAATTTCTTCAACTTTTGACCGGTTGGACCTAAAGGTGGACTGTTTAGATTTCAGTGGTCGAAGGTCAAAGGTCACGGTGACCTCATATGAATCTGGAAAACAATGGATGTAGACTGAAACTGCACTGGTTGGTGGAGGCATAGTGTCGAGTTCTCCATCTGCCTCTGTTAAAACGAGGAAATGATGAATCTGATTATTTTGTGCAGACTAACCTTGATTATTTGTCTATTCTGTAAATACTATAAATCCCTGTTTGGCTCTCTCTGTGTGGAGTCCTCCCACAGTCCACAGTCAAACATACAGATTGGGATCAGGTTAATTGGAACTGAATGGTTCGCCTACTGTCGGCTGGTATTAGCTCCAGCACCCACACATGACCCACAAATGAAAGGCAGTATGGATGGTGGATGGATGGATACTGGATCTATTTTTCTTTGAATTGACGTCTAAGCATGAGTTCAGCTTTTATAACACCCTCACTTGCAGTATGATAATGATTATAATCAGTACAACACACAAAGACCAGTGACGTGTGATCTTTATCTGCCATGAATCACTGTGCATACCTGTGTGGGTGAATGACTGTGGTGGTAAATAATATCCAATGAAATATCAGAGCACAGCATTGGCGCTGCCTGCCAGCAAAGTTTACAAAAGACTGTAATGATAGAGCCACACACACACACACACACACACACACACACACACACACACACACACACACACACACACACACACACACACACACACACACACACACACCCTACTATCATGAGCAAACATGTTACTATATTGGTACATTCCAGCATTTGTTCATTTGTGTGTTTTATCAGACCTGATGATCTGTCACTCTTTCAGTGTGTGATTGGGTGTATTACAGGAAGGACGCCACCCACTGACCACTCCCATTTCCACATTAAACGCTCACGGTGGCTTGTGTTGTGTTTCCTTGTTACCTCCGACAAGGAAGTTCTGTTTTCACCTGTTTGTTTGAGATTTTATATTCATGTAAGTGAATCATTGTGCATGTGAGTGGTTTATATATACGTTTGAGAGATGAACTGGACGGGTGTGATTTTTTTTTCCATGTCAACAGATTCAAAGGTCTTTTAAACCATTGACACAATCTTCAGACTCAAGTTCACAACTTTTCAAAATAAAAGCTCAGTATAGAGCATTGCAGCAACAAAACAAAACTTTATACTTCGTTGACAAATTTCTAAAGAGGAAGGGATTCTGTGAATGTTGTTGCCATGACGATCAGCACTACTCAATCAGATTATCCAAATGATCTGACGAGCAAGATATTATTGGCCGCAGGCTGCCAGTTGTCGACCACTGACGTTTTTTATCTGAGGACTTAGATGAAGGTTGAACTCAGACAACAGACTAAGGGGGGAACAGCCCCACCCCCACTGACTGCTGCAGGGCACTCAATTTGTATTAATACTGAACGTATTGCGTGTCCAATAAAAGACACGCCTGACAGGAAGTCGATGAACGGCTCACGTATTCAAGATAAAAACTGACGTTTGTGGAATTAGAAGGTAGATTTTGGTGTGTATGCAGATAAAGGGGCGTATCAAGGATTTTTCTTTTTCAATTGCACCCAAATTGTTCAGTTGCTGTTCCGACTTGAGGCGGAGTTAGTGTAAATGTTTCCCTTCTGGAACTCATTTTCCAGATTATTCCTTCACCACATTAACACACAATAAGCATCAGCTGAAAACTGCGCTGTTTGCAGAGCGGTGGGGTTTAAAGCCAAATGAGAATCTGATTTCCAGCCCTGCAGTCCTTCCACTCTCCATCCAAACTAATCCTCCAGTAGTCGTCCTGACAGTGGCTCTTCTTTTGATCCAAACCTGCTGGAGGCAAGAGATTAAAAAAAAGAACCACACGTGATGAGTCACGGTGCAGGGGAGGTGTTTGATCCTCGCAGGGCAGAACTTTGGATGCTATCCTCATTTCCTTCTTCACCTTTGACCTTTAAGTAACTGCTTCCTCCCTGAGTGTGTGGCGGTGCCGGAATGTGTCCTTGAGCTCTGGAGAAGGAGTCAGTAAAACAATATGTCCACAAAAAAATCCCCTTTGTGCCATCAAAGAGAGCAGACTTCCTTTAAAAGATGGATCAGTCTCCGGTTGGCTTTTTAAGTGTCAGTGTGACGGGACAAAGAGCAGTGGGTCAGAGGTGACGAAACAGGAAAACATAAAAATCCACATCTGGGGTTGCACTTGTTCGGGGATTACATTCACGCACATACACACACATGCACACACATGCACACACATGCACACACAGCTGGACTGTAGCAGCCTTTACCTCAACTTTTGCTGTATAGAAATGTCTCTTATTGCAGCTGCTGCTGTCACTGAGAAAGTAATTAGAGGCTGCTGCAGGAAACTGGAGGAACAAGGCTGATATGTGGACATTATGTACATTATGCTTTAACCTGAGGACATGTCAACAGCGTGGGAGGCCACAGCCGTGTAATCTACACATGATTTCAATCTGCCATCAGGAGACGGACTTCATGGAACAGGGTCTGACATGATTTGGATTTTCTGTAAACTGTTTAGTCTACTAAACTTCTCCAACGTATCCAAGTCTTGTTTTCCCGGAACGAGAAAAAAGAAAGTGACAAATGATCTAATGATGTAACCTCAGTCCATATAGAATAAAACAGACGTCTGGAACATACCGTACACTAGAACAGAAACATTCCTGTGGTTCATTCTTTCTTTATGTAACTGATGAAGACGAAGCTGTCCAAATAAGGTTCTCAAGTTCTAAAGTGGATATCGTCCAATGTTTCCATTATTTTTAAGCACAATCTTTTATCTTCTTAAACTTTTCTTACTCCGCAGCTCAGCAGGGAAACACTGTCTGTGGAACCATCCACTTTATTTGGATTCGTTTAACAGATTAAGTTTTAAAATCACTGTTATTACAGCAAACCCATCACTCATTTAGGCCCCGGTCGGATTATGGGTTCAACACAAACTTTAAACATTGTAAAATCAATTCAGAGAAGTAAGCAGTAGCATCTCGAAAGTACTTATGCTCCCTTTAAACATTTATATCTCATTAAAAAGCCTTCAAGTTAACAGTTTGGGCTTGAAACATTTTACTACTTTTTCAAATGGTATTTTTTTAAGGTGTGTTAAAACAGTGCGAGTCCTGAGGAGGAGAAAATCTCACTTTGCTTTTTGGACTCACAGACGTGCAGGTTTGCTCCAGGATAAAACTGAAAAAGAAGAATTTTGACAAAACCTTTTTCTTTTGTTATCTTTAGAAAACAAACATTTTTATGGCTCAATAAGAGAAAAAACAACGATTTTTTTTTTAGTGTATATTTTCACATTGACAATCCAGATGCATGTTCACACAGCCATGAAAAGTCACATGTCACATATTGTTCAAAGCCACAAAAATAGAAGATATTTATTTGTTGTATATAAATACAGTGGTGTTTTTATGATATCAGCGGCTGATTGATAAATATGACCAGAGGTAGAAGAAAGTACCACTCGACTACAATCATCAATCTTCAGTTATGCGTCATAATACATAGTTTCTTTACTCCAATAAAAAAATACCACACTGTAAAAAAATACTCTATTACAAGTACAAAGAAGTTCACTGTGTACAAAGCAGATATTACATCATGTGATCCAACATTCAAAAGTTTATCGACACCATAAACAAATCAACCATGAAGTTAGTGTCAGTGAAGATGTTCATCAAGAAGTTCATATTTGAAAGATGTGTGAAGCCGTGATGGGACTGTCTGGACTGATATTACAGAATACATTCAAAAAGATCCTCACAGATTAATCCAAATCCAGATTACGGAAAATTCATTCTGTGTCTGGTTCTTTCAGTTTTTCTGTGTGTGTGTGTGTGTGTGTTTTGATATTTTTTAAATAAAAAAAATTCATGAAATGACTGAGGTAAAAGTACAGAGGCTTTATGAGTATCAAAAGTACAAGTACTTTATGTATTTGGTGTTGGGAGGTCTAATCTGAAAATGCATCATATTGAATAATCTCATTACATGTTAGATTTGAATCTGAGCTGTCAGACACTGCAGCTGAGCAGTATAAAGTAGTGTAACGCTGAAACACTCAAGTAACGTGGGTCTGCAAGTTCCCTTGATCTCACAGTACCTGAGTAACTAAGCCTACTACATGTACTGGTACAATGAGACTTTAAGCTCAGCTAACAGTCGTCACTCTGCACCATGGAGAAGAGGAAGGAGCACACACTGGCCCACGAGCTGTTGCAGTACTCCTCAGCCGCCTTCCGGTGCCTGGTGCAGTTTTGTCCGGTGGAGGTGGAGGTGGTGGTGGTGGAGGTGGTGCGGGGCCGACGTGTGGTGGTGGTCTGCGGGTGTCCTCCCTGAGAGGATGCCACCGAGCTGGAGCGGTCCAGCTTGAAGTGCGCCTCCTGGGGCGCACGCTTGCACATGCCGGCCTTTACCAGTGCGCGCTGGTCGATGCACACTTTCCCCTGCAGCCTCTTGAAAGCGCGGGCCACCTGCTTCCAGAAGCCCTTGGGGTCGGAGTGGTACCCCGGGCAGCTCTGAGGTTTACCGTTGTATTTACACTCCATGGCGGTGGGGCCGCCTGTGACGCGCGCCTCCGGGTTCTCACATTTCACCGACAGCCTTACCGCCTGTCCCAGGTCTCTCGCCCCCCACGTGCACTGCATCTTGTTCTTGAGCGTGAACTTCCCGCGGCCGCTCGCTGCCCCCTTGTGCGCACCGGAGCACAGAGAGACCTGGTGCCCGAGGAAGGCCAACAGCATCCAGGGAGCGAGAGTCGTCAGCAACATCATGTCGTCTTTTATAAGGTTGATAAGTAAAACACCTGAAAAGACACAGGGTGGGGAAAAGAGACAAGTTGTAGAGTCCCAAATGAGTTGTAGGTTTATTTATCCAAACCTTTACGCACATAAAAAGGTGTATTTCAAAGAGCTATAAATGAAAACTCTGCAGAGAAACATATCGAGGTCATATTGCAATACACTCTACAAACTGAAAAGTCACATATACTGAGTCCAACTCACCGTGAATGGCAAGTGTTTCCGTGCGTAAAGCTTCCTCCTGTGGCTCCTGTTGTCCCGCACATGGCTTTCATACAACAGAGATGCTGCGGCACGCCCACCATTCCCGCCCCAGAACACACACACACACACACACACACACACACACACACACACACACACACACACACACACACACACACACACACCTCCTCTCAGATCCATTGA